TGTGTGTGTGTGAGTGCGAGTGTAAGTGTGCGAGTGTAAGTGTAAGTGTGCAAGTGTGTGTGTGCGTGTGTGTGTGAGTGCGAGTGTAAGTGTGCAAGTGTGTGTGTGCGCGCGTGTGCGAGAGTGTGAGCGAGCGAGTGCGTGTGTGTGTGTGTGTGTGTGTGAGTGCGTGTGCGTGTGAGTGTGAGTGTGAGCGTGTGCGAGCATGTGAGTGTGAGTGTGTGCGAGTGTGTGTGTGAGCGTGTGTGCGAGCGTGTGTGTGTGATTGAGTGCTGGAGAGATGTGTGTGTGGACAGATGCATGCTCCTCATCTTCAAAGGAAGTGTCTGCTTTAATTACTCATGGCAGATGCAGCTTTTAAATACAGAATACATAATCTGAGGTGGGCACTCGAAGCAGACACAATGGAGAGCCGGCACAGAAGAACACGGCTGCCTCCAGCTAAACAAACCCACTGCTGAACAGATAAACACACAAAACACGCTCAGCACTGGGCTTTTATCAAGCAGCACTGTTGTAATAATCATTAGGGCTGGGCAGTGGGCAACATACCAAAAAACACAAACTAAACAATATATTCCTGCCTTTTGACAATCAAAATAGATATAATGTTTATAATACATTGTGTTTTTTTTTTTTTTTTTAATTTTTAATCTCACAATTCTGACCTTTTCCTCTCAGAATGGCATGATATAAACTCACAATTGTGAGTTATAAAGTCAGAACTGCAAGATATATAAAAACTTTTTTTCCTCAAAACTGGATTTTATAACTCACAACTGCGAGTTTATATGACTTATTTTTCAGAACTGTGAGAAAAAAAATTAATTGCTGGATATAAAGTCACAATTACCTTGTTTTATTTTATATTCAGTGGCGGAAACGGGCTTCCATAGTGTTTTTTGTCATTTAAAAATAAATAAATAAATAAAAAATAAATAATAATATTATATATACAGTATATACTGCATATATATATATATATATATATATCCTGTTTTTGATCAGAGGATGCATTTGTGAAGTAGATTTAAAATACTGAAATATACAATAAAGTAAAAATCTGGTTCAAATAATCACTGCATGTTTTCCAAACTGTTTTGGAAAAATTATATTGTTTAACTGTTCTGTTTTCATTTAGTTGTGCCAGTATAACAATACTTAAATTATAAACAACAATATTTACCCTCAATGCCAGTATATATATATCTTTCTATCATGAAAAATAAAAAGTGCATTAAATAAAATATTGCAATATTTACGAAGTTGCATATATAAAAAATTCCCATTAAAATCACTGTGAATATTTGATAAAGTTAAAGTAGTATTGCACAGTCTAGCCAATGAATGAAGGCGCTCATTTAATGAATTGACTGAAGTCACGGCTGTTTAGTTCAACACAAACCCGCCTGCAGAAAGACTGGAGAACGAACACCACACAGCTGATGCAATGAAAGCAGAAACAGCAGCAGCAATGCCACAAAACATGAGCAGCCACAAATAACCCCTAATGTGCAGCGATCAGCTCTTTAGAGAAACTCAGACCTCATGCAGCCTTTGCTGAGAGAGACTTCAGTACTTTAATCATTCATTATTCAGAGCACTTTTTGCTTCACGCACACTTTAAAGGAACTGCACAATCAGATGGGTCACTAAAGACTGTCAAGTAACATATCGCCAAGGCCGATATATCGGTCGATATTTGGCGTTTTTCAAGTATCGGCATCGGATGCGTTTGAGGCTGGACTTTTATTTTGACATTCTCCCTGACTCCCTCTAGTTCGCTGTTGTTGTTTAACAGTTCTGTTTAATACGGATAGAAGTCCATCTAATAATCAGATAGAGCTGTTAAACAAAGGAATTAAAATTCATACAAAAAAGTATTATAACTATTGCTTTTAGTAGTAATAGAAAGACAAACATTATAATACTTTCTCATTTACCGTCAGCTTTCAGCAACTACGCATTTATATCATTTAAACAAATCTTTGAATGAACATTTAATTTCACAAACCTTGCAGACTTAGTCGAATCCAGCTGTGAGATCTTGTGTGTATGTGTGACCATGGACCTCAAAACCAGTCATATGGGTACATTTTTTTGAAATTGAGATTTATACATATTTATAAATAATCTTTTCATTGATGTAAGGTTTGTTAGCATCTGACAATATTTGGCCGAGATACAACTATTTGAAAATCTGGAATCTGAGGGTGCAAAAAAAATCTAAATATTGAGAAAATCATCTTTAAAGTTGTTCAAATGAAGTTCTTAGCAATGCATATTACTAATCAAAAAAGTTTTGATACATTTACGGTAGGAGATTTACAATATATCTTCATGTAACATGATCTTTACTTAATATCCTAATGATTTTTGGCATAAAAAAAATGGATAATTTTGACCCATACAATGTATTGTTGGCTATTGCTACAAATATAGAAGTGCTACTTATGACTGCTTTTGTGCTCCAGGGTCACATTTGTTTATTGCATGATCGCGTTTTCTGTGACGGTCGGTCCGTGCGAACTGAATACGGACAGGAGGAGAGTTCAGCTTCACTGGAGACGCGCGATCGACAAATTTTAAACTCGTGATTTCAAATTATGCTGCACTGTATGCATTTGCCCACTGTCATATTCATGTCATTTCCACTGTGTGCTGTGTGTAACATGAGTGTTACCTTGGCTTTATTTGAAAAAATATGATTCCCAATGCACACAAACTTCCCAGAATACGGAGTGCCCTGTTGGTTACAGTGTTTACTTCCTTTTTAATTATATTTTTATTAAATATTTATTTATTTGTGAAAAATACATTGTCTTCTAGAGTATAAGTATGTTTATTTTACATGTTTATTTTTTAATCCATTTTTAAATGATTTTAAATTTCTTAAATATGAATTCAAATAAATACAATTATATCGGCCAATGTCTGTCGACCACTAGGGCTGGTGAAAAATATCGATATCTCGATTTTAATCGAAAATGAGAGTCCAAACAGCTGATAAAAACATCAAGTAATCCACACCACTCCAGTCCATCAGTTAACATCCGGAGAAGACAAAAGCTGAGACAAATCCAGCATTGAGATGTTTTTAACTCAAATACATTGAGTGCATAATCCATAATAAGGCTTCCTCCAGTGAAAAAGTGTTCTGGTGTGAATCAGGAGAGAAATCTGCACAGATCAAGCAGCGGTTAAACAGCTCTAAACACATATGTGGCTGGATTTTGATGTGAGAGACAACAGCAGATGCACTTTTTCACTGGAGGAAGCGTTATTATGGATTATGCACTCAATGTATTTTAGTTAAAAGCGTCTTAATGCTGGATTAGTTTCAGCTTTTGTCTTCTCCAGATGTTAACTGATGGACTGGAGTGCTGTGGATTATTGTGATGTTTTTATCAGCTGTTTGGACTCTCATTTTGACGGCACCCATTCACTGCAGAGCATCCATTGCTGAGACACTGATGCAATGCTAAATTTCTACAAACCTGATGAAGAAACAAACTCATCCTAATGTTGGATGACCTGAGGGTGAGCACATTTCTATTTTTAGACCTTTTATAAAAGCTTATGCTATTTTTATAATGAATATAAAATGTTGTAGTTATGTCAAGTTCTGAAATGTTTTTTTTTTTAGGTAAAACAAATATTATTGTGATTATTGTGATTCAAAGTGAGAGGGTGAACAGATCTGTCAGAACTCACGCTGTCAAACAGTTTGGGGTCGGATGCATTTATTTGATCAAAAATACAGTAAAAATTGTGAAATATTATTGTGATTCAAAGTGAGAGAGTGAACAGATCTGTCAGAGTTCACGCCGTCAAAAAGTTTGGGGTCGGATGCATTAATTTGATCAAAAATACAGTAAAAATTGTGAAATATTATTGTGATTCAAAGTGAGGGCGTTAACAGATCTGTCAGAGCTCACACTGTCAAACTGTTTGGGGTTGTATGCATTTATTTGATCAAAAATACAGTAAAAATTGTGAAATATTATTGTGATTCAAAGTGAGAGAGTGAACAGATCTGTCAGAGCTCATGCCATCAAACAGTTTGGGGTCGGATGCATTTATTTGATCAAAAACACAGGAAAAATTGTGAAATATTATTGTGATTCAAAGTGAGAGAGTGAACAGATCTGTCAGAGCTCATGCCATCAAACAGTTTGGGGTCGGATGCATTTATTTGATCAAAAACACAGGAAAAATTGTGAAATATTATTGTGATTATTGTGATTCAAAGTGAGAGAGTGAACAGATCTGTCAGAGCTCATGCCATCAAACAGTTTGGGGTCGGATGCATTTATTTGATCAAAAACACAGGAAAAATTGTGAAATATTATTGTGATTATTGTGATTCAAAGTGAGAGAGTGAACAGATCTGTCAGAGCTCATGCCATCAAACAGTTTGGGGTCGGATGCATTTATTTGATCAAAAATACAGTAAAAATTGTGAAATATTATTGTGATTGCTGTAATTCAAAGTGAGAGAGTGAACAGATCTGTCAGAGCTCACGCCGTCAAACAGTTTGGGGTCGGATGCATTTATTTGATCAAAAACACAGTAAAAATTGTGAAATATTATTGTAATTATTGTGATTCAAAGTGAGGGTGTTAACAGATCTGTCAGAGCGCACACTGTCAAACTGTTTGTGGTCGGATGCATTTATTTGATAAAAAATACAGTAAAAATTGTGAAATATTATTGTGATTGCTGTGATTCAAAGTGAGAGAGTGAACAGATCTGTCAGAGCTCACGCCGTCAAACAGTTTGGGATCGAATGCATTTATTTGATCAAAAATACAGTAAAAATTGTGAAATATTATTGTGATTATTGTGATTCAAAGTGAGAGAGTGAACAGATCTGTCAGAGCTCACGCCGTCAAACAGTTTGGGGTCGGATGCATTTATTTGATCAAAAATACAGTAAAAATTGTGAAATATTATTGTGATTCAAAGTGAGAGAGTGAACATATCTGTCAGAGCTCACGCCGTCAAACAGCGGGACGCCGGAGGGGCAGCACTCACCGGAGGAGTCGAGACAGGAACATCGTTAGCGTCCGGAGGAGAGTGCAGCTTTATGAAGGCAACTCCGTACGCTATTGACTGCACACAAACACAGGATAAAGACTCATTCACACACATGAGTGGTGCATACAGGTTTGGAGAGTGAATCGTGACATGTTCACCTTGCTGTACGGCTGACTGCACACGATCTTCACACAGTCCCACTTCTCCTGTGCCATGGCCTTCACCAGCTGGCTCGGCCCGAAGAGACGCACGCGGTTTGTGTTTGTGCCGTTACGGCTTTCCGTGGGCGACATGAAAGACGACGTGACCAGCAGAACCTACAACACCAGAAAGATGCATTAACAGCACTGAAAGTGACATGTTATTCAGAATCAGAACACGTTTTATTGGTTAAATGTGCACAAGTAACTTACCAAATATAAGATTTAGAATGTAAAAACAAAAACACAGATTTACTAATTTACAATTTACAGCAATATACAGCCACACAAAAAATAAAATACAATTTACACAAACATATGTACACAAATATAAATTGCAGGGTTACGATGTTTTTATTATATTTCTGTTACTTAAAATAAAACAACATATATTTTTTAAATCATGTTTATTTCAGCTAGCTGCCAGGGAAACACTCATTTTCATTTAATTTTACTTAAAGTACTAAAATAACATAAAAATGAATACAAATACACATTAAAAATAACACACACACACCCAAATAAAAATGACAAAAACACAACAAAATTGTTAAAAACAAACAAATACTATAAAATAGAAAAAAGTCATTATTCTAAAATTAATTAATAAATATTAATAAAAAATATAATAGCATCTCAATAAACAAGTGTCACAAATAAATAAATAAAATATTAATTATATATATTTATCGTACTCAGTAGAACTGGTTCATAATTAAGATGGAAAGATTTATTATTGAAGGATTTTTTGAAAATATTTTTTTATTTTGTTGATTTTTTCAAAAGATTTCCACTAATGTAAAGCAATCTATACCAGTGTTTCCCATACATTGATTTATTTGTGGCAGCCACCACAATATCAAAACTGACCGCCACAACTGTACGGCTGACTGCACACGATCTTCACACAGTCCCACTTCTCCTGCGCCATGGCCTTCACCAGCTGGCTCGGCCCGAAGAGACGCACGCGGTTTGTGTTCGTGCCGTTACGGCTTTCCGTGGGCGACATGAAAGATGACGTGACCAGCAGAACCTACAACACCAGAAAGATGCATTAACAGCACTGAAAGTGACATGTTATTCAGAATCAGAACACGTTTTACTGGCTAAATGTGCACAAGTAACTTACCAAATATAAGATTTAGAATGTAAAAACAAAAACACAGATTTACTAATTTACAGTTTACAGCAATATACAGCCATACAAAAAATAAAATACAATTTACACAAACATATGTACACAAATATAAATTGCAGGGTTACGATGTTTTTATTATATTTCTGTTACTTAAGATAAAACACTCATTTTCATTTCATTTTACTTAAAGTACTAACATAACTAAAACTAAAATAAAAATGAATACAAATAAACATTATAAATAACAGACACACACCCAAATAAAAATGTCAAAAACACAACAAAATTGTTAAAACTAACAAATATTATAAAATATAAAAATAAAATGTCATTATTCTAAAATTAATTAATAAATATTAATACAAAATACACAATAAAATATTAATTATATATACTTATCGTACTCAGTAGAACTGTTATGTGTTCATAATTAAGATGGAAAGATTTTTTGAAAATATTTTTTTATTTTGTTAATTTTTTCAAAAGATTTTCACTAATGTAAAGCAATCTATACCAGTGTTTCCCATACATTGATTTATTTGTGGCAGCCACCACAATATCAAAACTGACCGCCACAACTATATTTTCCAAAAGGCGTTGAATAAACATGAGCACTGCACGTTACAAAACCCGGCGCGGATATTTTTATATCACTGTATCTCTGAAAGAAACCCAGAGGCGTCGCAATCTATACCAGTGTTTCCCATACATTGATTTATTTGTGGCAGCCACCACAATATCAAAACTGACCGCCACAACTATATTTTCCAAAAGGCTTTGACTTCGTTGAATAAACATGAGCACTGCATGTTACAAAACCCGGCGCGGATATTTTTATATCACTGTATCTCTGAAAGAAACCAATGCTTTTTAAGCCAAGTGGATTTTGAATGCAGCTTCCAAAAGACAAAAAATATATAGCTATAACCTGATAAATGTGACTGTAATGCATGAAGATATTAAGGTATTATATACATTAACATCATAATTTACTGTAAAAGCTGCTTTGAAATGATGTGTATGTGAAAATAAATATGTCTTGAATCAAATATTAACTCATCTGGATTGTAAATAAATTCACGTATTCTAAACTTTAGCTTAAAGCTCTTTAAACAGTTTGGTGCTGCTAAAGTGTGAGACTTTAAGACGCACCTGAAAGTCTTGGTCTTTGACTGACGTGGAGTGTCCAACAAGGACCTCAATGAAAGCAGAGCCTTCATTTCCAATGTCTATGCTGTGAATTTGCTCTTCCTTTTCCAGCTGGAGAAACAAGAGACACAAAGAGGTTAACACTTCATTTAAAGAAATCATTAATAAAGTTCTTAAAAGGGCAAGTGGCATCCAGTTACCATTTTGGAAATTAAAATGATTTTATATATAAAAATATATATATATATAATAATAATAATTATGTGTATGTATATATATATATATATATATATATATATATATATATATACAAACAACACGGATTCAT